ACAAATTGAATAAATAAGCATAAAAATCAATTTCCAAAAATTGATCCAAATCTTAAACTTTATTTCAATAAAGGTTTAATAATTAGTTCACAAAACATCGCCTATGCAATCAGCAAATTCATTGGTGGCGTACTATCGGACAGACTGTCCTCTCGGCTACTGTTCACCACTGGTCTACTTCTGTCGGGTTTGGCGACAATCCTATTCGCAAACAGCGATTCAATAGTCGTATTCACGGCCCTATGGTTTGTGAATGGGTTGGCACAGGGCTTCGGGTGGCCCGCCTGTGCCAAAGTCCTGCGCCAGTGGTTCGCGCCCTCGCAGTTCGGCACCTTTTGGTCACTACTGAGCGCCTCCTCTAACATATCCGGAGGTCTGTCACCATTCATCGCCGCATTCATTATCATTAACTACGGCTGGCGTACGAGTCTCGTGATCGCCGGCACCGTCTCCATAGCCATGGCTGGCGTCGCCATCATTACGCTTGTCAACTGTCCACAAGATGTCAATCTATCACCAGTTGTCTCACAAACTGATAATAAGAAAGACAATAAAAGTATTTAATTTTAAAAGTTTTTATAAGCAATACATAAAAACAAATCTCTATTATTAGATAAATCTAAATCTGAGAGCAGTTGGACAGACCTACTGAGGAGTCCATTCCTATGGTTGGTCAGCATATCATATATGAGTGTTTTCGCATCGAAAACAAGTGCAGTAGACTGGGGACAGATGTACCTCATTGAGGACAGACACCACTCCCAACTAATAGGTCTGAATTAGAATTAATTTGATATATCGTTATAATTTGCAATGAATTTGCATACAAACCAATGCATAGGTTCTTCATTCACGAGTAGTGTGGAGTCGGGCGGCTTTTTCGGCAGTTCATTAGCCGGTTATCTCACGGATCTGGTGCTGAGGCGACAACTGGGCACAAGTGGTGCCAAGAAGTCGCCGTTGACGCCATCCAACGCCCGAATGCCGGTCGCCATCGCAATGATGACAGTCGTCGGCCTTTGTCTCCATTGCTTTCACTTTCATATAACTGAGTCCTCGTCGCAACTCATGATCACAACCCTGGGATTCATATTAGGCGCCTGTCTGTACGGCCCGATCGCCATATTCGGTGTCGTGGCCACCGAGTCAGCGCCCGCTCACCTCAGCGGCACATCCCATGCCATCGTAGCCCTGGCCGCCAATTGTATGCACCTATCGATTGTGAAATGATAATTATTTATTGTGTCAAATATACCATTAATACACTCATTCTCTCCACACAGTCGGTGCCATAATATCCGGACTTCCTTTCAGTCTGTTAGCCAAACACTACAACTGGTCCGCGATATTCCTGTTGTTAGAAATCGTCACTTTCCTGACGGTAGTCATCATGATTTTGGGCCGTAATATACCGGCGCGCATAGGAAAGGCTGTCAAACAGTCTTGAAATGAAGTACAAATACAAATGCAATACAAATCACTTTGAAATGCTCAACAAATTTTAGGACAAATCGTATGAATTGAATTAAAAACAGTATTTAATGGTTGAATTTAGTTATTTGTACACATTATTTTTAAATACTAAATAAGAAATATATACAAGGTGTATTATACACATTAGTACATGTCATCATTAAAATTGAAATCTAATTAAATTTGTTTTCAAACATATTAAAAATGGGTTTTAAACTAAAAATAAATAAATTTATTTAAATAACCCGTATATATAACAGTATGTGTTTACTAATACATAAATTGTACTGAAATATGCATCAAATGTTCAAAACTAATTGTCACTTAAAATATCCACAAATGGGTTAGAGATCTATAACGTCTTCAACAGTAATTCACGCGTAAACTCAACTAAAACTCAATAAACTCTTTAAATCTCAAGAACTGTGATAAGGGTTTAGGAATTATAGCATTTTTGTACAATTGTTTGGCGTATTCATTGAGATTACTGGCCTCCCGGCGCCGCAAA